CAGCCGAGCTTCTCTATCCACGGTCGTGCTGTGCTTCATACCCAAGCACTTCGCGGGCTAAGCCCAAGGAGGACCGGGCTAGGCGGCATCTCGGCAAAGCCTAGCCCGGGGCACCTCCTGTGGTCGGCCTCCATGCCGATCAAACGATTACCTCGGCTGACGACGCCTTTCCGGGCGCCGGTCACTCTGCTTGACTGGTTCCACCATCGCCTGATCAAGCAGCTCGGTCCAGCCGAGCACTGCCTTGCCGAGCAGCTTCTTTGCGGTCTGGGGGCGGCACATACTTGGCCCAACTCCTGCCCGGCCCAAGTCTTGGCAGCCCATCTCCGGGCGGATCGCCGGTCATCTCGGCCCCATGCACCATTAGGCTCTCAACCTGCTCGGCCGTTACCTCGGCCCAATTCCAGATCATAAATCTCCCTCTCAGAGTGAGTCTGCCAAGCTGTTGAACACATAGTTCTGGCAAAGATAGTCTGTCTGCTTCCATGTGTCAAGCGCCATGACTTTCTGCCTGTCAGGCTCATTCTCTGCCACGGCTGGAGGATCCTCACTCAAAACCTTGGCAAAGTTAAGCGTGGTCAAGTAAAACAGCATCTTTTGCTGCCATCTCTTAAAATTTTTCCCAGCAAATTTTTCTGGGCGCTCATGATGACTAAGCGGTCCTCCCGGAACGGCCAGAGTAACACCAGGGTTGACCACAGAGGTCACAGTAGTAGGGGTTGGTAATCCAATTGCCCCGGGGTTCAAATCCCCACCAACATTAGCAGTAGCAGCAGTATCAGTGATAGTTACCAATTTCTGAAAATTACACCGGAATATCACTTCTGTGTTTCCAGAAATTAAACTTAACCCTTAGAAAATCCCTTAGAAGAAAAATTAATTTAAAACTTAGTCTCACCACAAAACCTAGAATCGAACATGGTCAAGAAAGTTCCCAGGAAGACTGGAGGGGTCACATCAGTCCCACTTAAAGCCCAGTTAACCTTTTGACAAAACTTTTAAGAGCATGTTAACTCCTAGTCCATGATAAACAATTTTAAGAATTAAATTTTCTTATGGATGAATTAGGTTAAAACAAACCAAGGTCCAAAATTTTTACAAGCAATGTAAAATGATTGCTACAACAATATAAGCAAATAAAACTTGCTACTACAAATTGGTAAACAAACCAACTACATCTCAAGCAAACATGCTTCAAACATTTAAATAAAATAGCCAATCCATAAGGATTTGATTTAGTCCAAAAGCCTTTCCACGCTTAGGTATTCCTATTCAACACAAAAGTTAGTAGTTCAAACATTTTTGTTTTTACATCCCAAATACTATTCATTGGGTTTTATATTTGTTTTTCGCATTGGTATCCCTACAAAGAAAGTTAGTAGCAAACCACAACAAAATACAAACAAATAATCTAAAAAATTTAATAAATTAAATGAAACCATCTAGCCAATTTTTAATTATATAAGTAACCAATGTATTAAAATGCCAATTAAATTAAAACTTTAAAATAAAGTTCTATACTCATGGGTTATGAATGAAATTAATTCATAATAAACATTATTAACTCCAAATAAATAAGTTAAATTCAAAGTTAATGCACCCAATTAGATAATTTAGATTAATGCTCCCAATTAGATAATTTAGATTAATGCACCGACTTAAATAATTCACATGAATGCACCCAATTAGATAATTTAGATTAATGCTCCCAATTAGATAATTTAGATTAATGCACCTAATTAAATAATTCACATTAATCATGTACACAATTCATAAATAAAAAATAAAAAAAAACTTTATGACTCCAAAATATATTAAATTATGTAATCTAGTCTAGAAAATAATAAATATGTAACAAATTAAAACTAGAATAGAATTAGCATGTCAAAATTGCAACATCCATAAATTATATTTTATAACCTTAAAATTCATGCAAATTATAATAGAGAATTCTAACTAAACTAAGCAATTAGAGAGTACCATTGCATAATTTACAATCATTGAAATAGTGAGCAATTCCGCAACAAATCCTAGTAACATTATACAAAGCTAACCTAATAGTCTATATAAATCTATTCGATCAATTTCATAGAAAATATATATATAATCTGTTTTAAGCTTGTTGTTCAAATTGTGAAATTAAATAAATAGATTTATGAAGAAATCAAATTATGTACCAAGAACATATGCTGATAATTACAATTAAATTTCAACAGAAATATACAAAACAATAAAAGGGTAAAGAGACGAAACCGAAGCCTACACGGAAGCAGTTTCCTTAAAACAGATTTCGCCGCCTCACGGGTCGAGTGCTTGAGGAATCCCGGCGTCTGTCTCCCAAGATACGACGGTCAAAACCAACTACGGCAGAAGCACTTTCTGTCGAAGCCTGTACGGAAGCAGTTTCCTTAAAACAAATTTCGCCGCCTCACGAGTCGAGTGCTTGAGGAATCCCAGCGTCTGTCTCCCAGGATACGACGGTCAAAACCAGCTACGGCAGAAGCACTTTCTGTCCAGCTTAGCGAACAAGAACAGTGGCAGCACTCTCTCAATGTAAGAACTTTCTGGCAAACTGACTTGTAAAATGGAAGCAAAAAATTTCTATATTGAAACTTGATAGGAGGGTCTCAATTTATACATATAAAGGGGAGAGAAGAAAAGCCTCCAACCTTTAAGGCTGGACAATAAAACACCAAGCATCCATAGCCCCTTTCCAAAAATATAAAAGTTTGGATGCCCAAAGGATTCACACCCTTTAGCCAAGAAAAAAGATTTAAATACTCTTTAAAATCATATTCATGAATCTAACATCATGAGGCAATTTCTTATTCAAAACCCAATGATTTTTGGCTCACTTTGACCTAACACAATAAAAGGTTGGGACTCACTTTAATATTTAATTAAAGACACCACACTTTAATATTAAATTAAAGTCAGCAAAAATCATTTTTTCCAACAAATAGATCATATCACATGTATTTATGACTTTCCCAAATGCAGAAATTAATGTTTTTCATTTTTTATTTTTATTTTGTACTCATAAAATATCGCTACCATCATATTATAAAAATATCACTACCATCATCCATTTATTCAATTTCATTGCAGAACCATTCATTTTAGAGTAAATCATAATTTTACCTCTAAAATATAAATTTTTTTCACTTTAATCTTTTAAAAATAAATTTTCTCATTTTGATCCTAACCTATTAGATTCTTATTTGGTTGTTCAAATTTCAATACTTATCCTTTTGTGAAAATGCCGCGTGACATGAATTGACCTAGACTAAACCCCAACTATATTCAAGGACAATCTATACATTATATTATACTTTTCCTTCAGTTTTTCTTCTCTCCTGTCACTATCGATCACTTGCCATCCTTCACTAGCGATCATTCATTCTAAGTGGGAAAATAAGTGAGAGCACTAATTAGTGCTATCACTAATGATGTGGCAGTGGGCCTCACCAGGAATGATTTGATGTTTTAGTCTTGGTGTTGTATTTTTTTTCTTTTTTTATTGAGTTCCATATCATTAGTGATCTTTTAGAAAGATGTAAAAAATAAAAAATAAAAAATAAAAAATAAAAAAATTGGAATTTTTTTTTTTTTTTTTTTTTTTTTTTTTTTTTTTTGTGATTTTGTGATTTGTTTTGTCTTTTTTTAGTTAATGTATTTAGAAAGTTGCTAAAAAAAAATTCTTATGAGTAAAAAAATTGATGTGACGTGCCGTCAAATAATTTATTAATTGTTAAGCTTTTTTAATCATAAGGTGATTTTTTTCTTTAATTGCCAAACAACCTCTAATAGTCACACAAACCCAACACGTAACTCTTCGACGCCAATCCTCCCGACTTTGATTTGAAACTTTCTACTTCGAACTACGAAACAAAAAATGGAACAAGGACGAGAATGGATCTAAGGGGTGTGGGCGGGTGGAGTCGCTCTCCAAATTTTTTTAAAATTATGTATATTATATCAGTAATTAATAAAATAATTTTAAATTGAGTATATCGCACTCTCAAAATTTTAAAAGTTTACACCTTCCATATTATTTACATTACAAAATTTTAAAAATAATTTCTAAATTGAATCTTATCAAATATTGATATATTCTATTTGTTATATGTATCATTTGTTATATTTCTATATTGTTTAGAATTTTTACTATTTATTTTTATTTATTACTATTCTTGTTTTCTATTCATATGTTATTTATGTTTTTTTTTTTTTTAAGTCACATTTTAATTTGCTTATGTATTGTATTTTGCATTCATTATTATTTGTTAAATCTCTATAAATAGAAGTATTGTCTGAAAATAAAAATATTATCTACTTCAATATGACATTGTTAAAAATAAGTTCATAATATTTAATATTGTTTATTGAAATGGAGTATCATTATACTCATAAAAACATACATTTCAATTATATGAGTTTTCAAAACTAAATTGCATGAAAAATGATTTTGTAATAAGTTACTTGATCATATTTATTATGAAATATATTACTTAAGATTTTGATGTCGAGCCTATCATAAATGTTTTTATATATATTATAAAATGTGGTGATTACGACATTTTCAAATAGTAATTTTAATAGGAGAAAACATAATAACAGTTAATACTTTTGTTAAGTTAATGCAAACAAAAGAAATATGTCCAGTTATATTTTTGTTTTCAATTATGGTGACAAAAAAATGTCCAATTAAAAGTAATATTATTCATTTTTTTATTCCAATATAAGCCAAATTTTATAATAATTTTTTTCTTTAAAAAGTTACACGTTTTTAGCTTCCTCCCAAAACTTGAATCCTAGATCCATAAAATTGAAAAATAACATATTTTAGGGGTGAAAGTATAATTTTATCCTACATTTTAATGCGTGGCCAGTTGAGCCGTCCCTTATTTGTTAGCTTCTAGTCCTTTTGTCCCTACTTTTCCAATCACAAGGTACTATATATATGTCATCTGTCTGAGACCATTATGGCAAGAATTTGAAAGCTCTACTCCAGCAAGAGGTTCAAAGATGAGCAGAAAACCTAACAACCAACTACTCTTCTCTCTCTTCTTCTTCATTTTCTTTATTCTCTCTCCAAGTAACCTGTTCACTAAAATGGCCAAGGCTCAGAACAACACAATCCCAGTGAATGTAGGGGTGGTTCTTGACATGAATACATGGGTTGGGAAGATGGGTCTGAGCTGTATTACCATGGCTCTCTCAGACTTCTATGCCTCTCATGGCCACTACAGGACCAGGCTTGTCCTTAACACCAGGGACTCCAAGAAAGATGTTGGTGGTGCAGCTGCAGCAGGTTCTCTCTCTCTCTCTCTCTCTCTCTCAACTTAAAACAGGGCCGGCCTTGACTTGAAACAGTTCCAAAATAATAAGAAACCAAATACAAAATGAAACACATGATAAGTGAGAATTGATTAAATTTTATAAAAGTTACTAATACTACTAATTTTAAAAAATATTATCCATTCAGGTACATTTATTCTTAGTTTTATTGAAAATATGTAAAAGTTAAGCTCATCATCAATTATTTCATGAGAATGTCAGTGATATTATAAATTCAAAAAATTACTTATTAATATTTTTGAATAATTGACATTGATATTTTTAAATATTTTTTTTTAATAAAATTTCTGAATTGTAATATTACTGTTTTTCAGACACAACTCAATTACTACGTGCAGTCATTGTTTGGTAGATTCACAAAGGATTAGAGATAAGTCCGCCATAGTTTTGGAGACGTTTTGGAAAAGTCTTCTTTTTTTTATTTTTTATAATAAGTTTTAAGAAAAGATTATGTACACCCTATGGTACACACTTTAATTATAATTAATTAAGAAAATTATTTAGCTGTCAATGCCACGCTACTCTCCCCAACCTCTGACAAAAGTCGAATTTCTAACCTCTCATATGTTACAGGCCGATGATAACCGCTAGGCTAGAAGCTTGTTGGTTTAGTAATCACATATTTGATACTTTAAAGAGGCATGTTTGTCTGCAGATCACCGTTTTACATAACAGTATGGAAATACATATAGATCGGCGATACAATCATTATATATCAAATAAAGTATCGTATTAGCTGATATTTAAAATCTCGATCCATATATTACCTGCTTTTGGGAGTAAGGCATGTCAGCTTCTACTACTATATATAAAAATTAAATATTTTAGTCTTTAAAAATAAAAATTTTATTATAAAAAATATCACGATAGTACTTTTTGGTCTCTTAATTTGTCCCTAAAAATAAAACGATAACACATTTTGTAATTAAAATATTTCGTTCTTAAATTTTTATTTCTAAATTCTTAGTTTGTTGTAGTGAGTATATGTTTTTTCAAACAGTATTGTACTAATATAAAAAGTTAAATGTACAATTAATTAAATAAAAAATTGAAGAATAGTACTTTAGTGGAAATGGCTTAAAATAACACTTGAAATCGTGGAGAGGCAAAGACAAAAAAAAAACATCAATTGATAATAATAAATGAATAATTTCGTTATCTAAGTTCTATTATTAAACAATGATGGAAATGTTTAAAAATTGAAGATGCTATGACTCATAAATCAAAGTAGCTTGTATTAAGTAATTTCGTTATCTAAGTTCTATTATTAAGAACAAGGATGGAAATGTTTAAAAAATTGAAGATGCTATGACTCATAAATCAAAGTAGCTTGTATTAAGTGATGAAATGTTTCAAGCATATCACATGATGGATGAGCAACAATAAAGTTATAATTAAAATTTTATCAAGTATTTATATAGATGTTGATGTTTCATGGAATAGAATATTAAATAATTAAGAAACAACACATTTTCATAAAATAAATATAATTGATGTTAAGATAGATTTGTAGTAAGGCATACAAAAATTTTAAAAAGAGTTGCATGACGTAAATGAAAGTTTTTGGAAGTCAGAAAGATCTAACTTACATGGATGTGGTAGTAAAAATTATATCAATTTCGTTATTTTAATTAAGCATCTACCTTTTAACATGGTGATATGGCAAAAAATAATTTATATAATTAATTTCACATATGGAAACACAATTTAATTTAATTCACATAACTAATAGGTCATTTAATTACATGAGTCGATTAACATCAATTTCAAAATGTGGTCAAAGATAAGACTATGCATGATATTACTCTTACAAATTAAAAATAACAAATTCATGAACAAGTGAACTCTCTAATTGTATTTGTAGGTAAATCGTCTTCAAAAATTAGGATATTGTATAAACTATGCTTGTTGACTAAGAAAAGTTATCAACCAATAAGGGAACCCAATGTTTGTCATAAAAAGTCTGGGTTAAAATAGTCACAAAAGATAAAATAAATTAAAAAGTTAATAAGATAAAATATCACATTCAAATCATAATCATTTCATTTTTTCTCTCACAAAAGTTAAAAAAATAAAAAAACTCATTCCAAACAAGATTTTTTTACTCCAGACTAAAATAACCAAAAAATTAAAAAGTTAAAAAATCAACATACATCCCAAAAAAGGCTAACTTGTTTAGTAATAAGAAAGTTTGAGTTCTCAGAAAAATATATAAGAAAATGACTCAGAATGTGAGAAAGTTTGAGTTCTCGGAAAAATATATAAGAAAATGACTCAGAATGAATGATAAATCAAATATGCATATTTGAAATTATTATTGTGGGCATAAATAATCTTGGCCAATGATCAAGAATTTTGGGTAATATTTGATTTTTTTTAATTTTTTATATATCCACGTTTTGGTTATAGGTTATTTTAAAAAGATGGTTAAAAGTCATTTTTTAATTTTTAATTTATTTTAATTCACATCATCACTCATAATTTTTTACACGTCTTTTAAAATATTAAAAAAATAATTTTTAACGTTGAAGAACCAAGGAAAAAAGTCTGTATGATATATGCCTCCGTTTGGAAAGTGGGTTGATTTTTTTGACTTTTTGACTTTTTTGATTATTTTAGCCTGGGCTAAAAAGCTTGGTTTAGGAAGGACTTTTTAGTTTGTTAGTTTTTTTGATTTTTTTTATGAAAGAATAGTGTAATGATTATGAATTAGATGTAATATTTTATTTATTGTGATTAAAATAATTTATTTTATTTTTTATGACTAAAATAACAAAAAAATTACAAACTCATCTTCCCAAACGGTGCCTACTCCAAGCTTTTGTCGACAACGTTTGACTTATTATTAATGCATATTAAAAATAAACTTGTATACTATTAACATATGAATAGAAAATTTAGGACCACACGGTTAGGGCACACACGGTTTAGTACTTGGTTTGACAAGACTAAAGAGTTGTTTAGAAATAGATTATTTTAATAATTATTTATTTTTTATAAAAAAATATATAAAAAATAAAGAGATAATAGTGATATAATTAAAATAAGATAAAAAGACAATAAATATTATTTTCGATTGTTTCCAAACAATCTCGAAGTAAAAACCTATACAAATATATAGAAACACTATTCATTCTTCTAATTTTCCTTCCCAAATTTCATCCCTAATTATAAGGAATTAGAGAAGGCTAAAAGATGAGAGGAGAGAAGTATAAAACCACTTCATATGAGTCTTTTGGTTTAGCATAATCAAAAAAAATCAAAAAGTCACTATTCTATCTAAGTCACATTATCTTATTTAAGTCACATCACTTCTCTATTACATCACTTCAAATCCAACTCATACCCAATTCATATTTCATAAAAAGTCAAAAAGTACACTTATTTAGGACACTCCAAACAACCCCTTAACCACTCATTAGAGGAGGAATTAAAAAAATAAAATTAAAGGGATGTAGCATTGTTCAATATATAATTTATCTCATAATCAAGTGATAAACTATTTAGTAAATTATTACTTGGAATTATATTTTTTTTAATCTTATTATATCCTTTTTTCTGGCCCATTTATCAATTATTTTCTCTTTAGTTTTCATTAATTTGACACAATTTTTTGGGTTATTTTCATGTTTTTGAACTTTTTTTTATTGGCATTGCGGTATCCGGATCAAAACCCGATTAATCCCTAGGGATGCATAGGCCCTCGGCAAAAAGTTTTCCGCAAATCCACTACAGTTAATTTTTTTAAAAAATGCCAATGGCCTCAAAAAATTACTAACACCTAAGAAGTTTCGATTCCTAAACCTTGAAAAAAGTACACCTCCAAAACCCAAGCTCTTACCACCAAGCCAACATATGGGGAATATGTTTTTGAACCTTTAACTCTCAAATTGCAATAAAACAACCTCTATACTATGAAAGAATGTCCATATTTGAATGCATATGTATTTTTTAAGGAGGAATGCATATATTAAACTCTGCATTTATGTATACACATAACATATAACCTCTATTTCCAATTATATAATAAAAATTAAAAATTAAAAAACTTATAAATTCTCACCATTTGAATTGTCAAGGCAGTTGGCTTTCATTTGAGAAACAATTATTTCAGTATAATGTGTGATAATATATTAAAACTCATCTAATATTATTGTAGCACTCCATCTAAAAATAAATAAAAAAATAAAAACTAGTTTTCCCAAATCAAGCTAAGAAAATTAGGGTTTCGTGGTTTTGACGGTGAAGAAGATGTTAAGCTTGACAACTAGATGGCGTGCATTTAAATACACACAATAATACATGTAAGGAGCGTAAAAAGAAATATGATACGTACATTTAGAGATGTTTTAGAAAAATGGTTAAAAGCTGACTTTTTTATTTTTTTAGTTATTTTCACTGTTTTATGTGAAAGGTGATATGACCCAAAATATGTCAAAATTGACGTTTGACTTTTTTGACTTGTTACCAAAACAACCCTTAGTATCCGAAACTCATAGATAGGATGGTCCCAAATGTAGGATGCATGATGCAAACAAATGAAATAAATACATTTCAATGAATTAGATAATGTAAAACAGAGGAACACTGAGCTCGTCAATTTCACAAACAAAAGTCAACCAAAATTTTGGATTCAAAGGAGGAACTTGAATTTGAATTGGTCAAAATTTAGAACCCCAAAAAGAAAACCCAAAAAATAATAATAATAATAATACAAAAGGGAGAATAGTCAGATCTAAAATTCAAAATAATAGAAACTTGCAACTTAAAATTTTGGAAAATTAAACCAGATTTTGGTTTGTGACCTTGACTTGTACCATTTTTCTCATAATCACCATTTACTTATTTTTGACAATGTGACAATTTATGATTCTTGTTGGACCTCTACGGTTAGTCCTAAGATCAAAAATCTAACGCTCAAGCCTTACCCAACAGCTTCACCACCAGGGTTGGTGGCCTGGTGAAGAATGCAGTGCATTCCCCAGCACAGAGTCAGGATCGATTCCTGGGAGGGAGTGTTTGAAATCTCTTCAAGAGAACACGCCCTGTACTCCCCTCGACAACCTGTCCTTTGTTGGGGCGTGTAGTTGCGCTTCATTAGTGCCCTGGTGGTGGGTCCCCGACTTGGTGGCGGTTAATTCTTAGCTGGCAACCGGTTACTCCAAAGTCAGGGCCCACGGGGCCGTGATGACACCTCAAAGCCTTTTTTTCCTGGTTCAAAAAAAAAAAAAAAAGCCTTACCCAACAGCTTCGGCCCTAGACGAGCTAATGGCCCGGCCTACATAGGCTAAGCCCAATAGGCTGTCTATTTCTTTTTCTTTTTAATTTTCTGTTTGGTTTACAAACTGGGCCAACAGACAGTCTCCCACGGTCCAACGGAAAAGGCGGATTTCAACACGTAGGCCCAGCACCAGCCAAAGCCTAATTCAAGTTGTGCTACGGACCTTCGGGTCAAATTATGGCCCACTTAATCTATAGATTCTAATAATTTTCCTGTAAAATGCAGCTCTAGACCTGCTCGAAAATGTTGAAGTGCAAGCCATCATAGGACCAGAAACATCTATGCAAGCTGACTTTGTAATTGATCTTGGAGAAAAAGCTCAAGTACCCATAATTTCATTTTCTGCAACAAGCCCTTCTCTCTCTTCAATTTGGAGTCCATACTTTGTCCGAGCTGCCCTAAACGACTCATCTCAAGTGAAAGCCATAAGTGCTATTGTTCAAGCCTTCGGATGGAGAGAAGTTGTTCCAATTTATGTGAACAATGAGTTTGGGGAAGGCATTATACCATATTTGACCGATGCATTGCAAGACATCAACACACGTGTCCCCTACAGGAGTGTCATTTCTCCATTGGCCACAGATGATCAAATTGTTGAAGAGCTTTACAAGTTAATGACAATGCAAACTAGAGTTTTCATTGTGCACATGAATCGAACTTTGGCCTCGCGACTTTTCATTAAAGTGAAAGATGTTGGAATGATGAGCGAAGGCTACGTTTGGATCATAACCAATGCAGTGACAAACGGTTTGAGTTCAATGGACCCTTCAGTCATTGATTCCATGGAAGGAGTATTAGGTGTTAAAACTTATTTTCCAACAACCAAACAACTTCAAGATTTCACCGTTCGTTGGAAAAGAAAGTATCAACAAGACAATCCTACTGTATTTAATGCCCAATTGAATGTTTTTGGACTATGGGCATACGATGCTGCAACTGCACTAGCCATTGCAGTGGAGCAAGCCAGTGTTACAAACAGCAAGTTTCAGAAGGCAAACATTTCAGGAAATTCAACAACAGACCTCGAAAATTTTGGAGTGTCCCAAAATGGTCCAAAGCTTCTCCAAGCTCTACTAAATACTAAATTTAGAGGCCTCACTGGGGATTTCCATATAGTTAATGGGCAGCTTCAATCATCAGCATATCAGATAGTCAATGTGATTGGCAATGGGGGAAGAGGAATCGGATTTTGGACAGCAGAAAATGGAGTTGTTAGAGATTTAAATGTCAAAAGTACCAATTCCACTTTAAATGCCAATCTTGGATCTATTATATGGCCAGGTGACACTACATCTCCTCCCAAAGGTTGGACGATTCCGACAAATGGAAAGAATTTAAGGATAGGGGTACCAGTAAAAGGGGGTTTTAGCGAATTTGTGAAGGTAACACCAAATCCGGGAACTAACACGGCAACAGTCACTGGATACTGCATAGATGTGTTTGATGCTGTAATGGCAGCATTACCGTATGCAGTTCCTCATGAATATGTTCCATTCGGAACTCCTGATGGCAAGAGTAATGGGACTTATGATGACATGGTGTATCAAGTGTATCTTGGGGTAAACTCTCTCTTCCCTAATGTTTAAATGTATCGGTATTTCTTTCATTAGTAGTAATAATGTTGTTTTATGTTTATGATGAACAGAAATTGGATGCTGTGGTTGGAGATACTACTATTATTGCAAGCAGGTCACAATATGTGGACTTCTCATTGCCTTACACCGAGTCTGGCGTGTCTATGATGGTGCCAATTAGAGACAACAGGAGGAAAAATGCATGGGTGTTCTTGAAGCCATTGACATGGGAGCTTTGGGTGACAAGTTTTTGTTCTTTTATTTTCGTAGGGTTTGTGGTTTGGGTTCTTGAGCATCGGATAAATGAAGACTTCAGGGGCCCTCCTTCCCATCAGATGGGATCGATCTTTTGGTTTTCCTTCTCAACCATGGTTTTTGCACATAGTAATTTCTCTTGCCTCTCTTTAGAATAAAAATAAATAAATTAAAAGACTAGCTTTGCCTATGATTTTCTAAAGCTAAAATATTATTTTCATAATGGCATGGGATTTCAGGACAACATGCTATAGAACAACAAAAATTTGCAGCAAATGTGCCAAATTACTATTTTATGTGGCCTAATTGCATGTGTTGCATACTCGAATTATCAATATTTGGAGTCATTTCCCAATAAAAATCCACAAACAGTCCATGAGATTATGACTGCTGAGTAAATTTCAGGATGGATTTCCAATGTTGACATTATATTGGAAATAAATATATAGAATTCGCATTGATGATTCAACAATCACAAGTTTTATTTTATTTTTTTATCAGGGGAGAAGGTTGTGAGCAACTTGGGTAGGTTTGTGGTGATCATTTGGTGCTTTGTTGTCCTAATCCTAACTCAAAGTTACACGGCGAGCTTAACTTCAATGCTAACAGTTCAACAGCTCACACCTACTGTTACTGATGTAAAAGAACTTATAAATAAACGGGAAAATGTAGGCTACCAAAAGGATTCTTTTGTTCATGAACTCCTGAAACGGATGGGATTGGATGACACCACGCTTAAGGTATATGGCTCTCCAGAGGAATTAGATGAACTCTTTTCAAATGGGAGCATTGCTGCTGCTTTCGACGAAATCCCCTACATTAAGCTCTTTCTCGCCAAATATTGCTCTAAATATACAACGGTCGCACCAATATATAAAACCGACGGCTTCGGCTTTGTAAGTAACTTATATCTCTCACTCTCTACCTAAAAGTTTCTGGAGGGTGTCTGTCTTATATATTTAATGACCTGCAGGTCTTCCCAATTGGTTCGCCACTATTGCATGATGTTTCAAGAGCAGTCCTAAATGTAACTGAAGGGGAAAAAATGGTAGGCATTGAGAGAGCATGGTTTGGGCAAACCAATTGCCCAGACCCAAGCACCTTGGTTTCTTCCAACAGTCTAGGCCTCGAGAGCTTCTGGGGTCTTTTCCTAATTGCTGGGATTGCTTCACTTTCAGCTTTCATAATATTTACTGTTGTGTTTGTGTATAAGCATGAGCATGTACTATTGAGGCATTCCGATCCTAATTCCTCAATTTGGGGAAAGATTGTGGAGCTAGCTAGACACTTTGACAACAAAGACCTATCTTCCCATACTTTTAGAAAGAGTGAACCGCGAGTCAAAAATGGTACTGACATTGTGGATAGTATGGTTGCACCACAAGCCTCTCCTAATGTTCATGGCCCTTCAAGTCCGTCAAGCTTCTCACTCCATGCCACCCCTAATTGTACCTGCCCACCAAGTCCATATACCTTTTCAAACCATACAGATGGGAATTTTGATTCTTCCGAAGGAACTCCTTCTTATGAATCTGAAGATCCAATTTCGCAAGGGCAAACAGCGCAAGAGGTGGTGCCAGTCATTGAATTTGCTAATCCAAATACACAGCAAGTTCCGAGTCCACAAATGAAGACCACTGATACTAATGTATGATGATGGCATTGCCATCTCTAATTGTATATTAATGTTAAGAGTTGTACCTATGCATTCTGATTAAAATATAGTTAATAACCTAATTATATTATTTTATGTTCTTCTTCCCTTGGTAATTGGTCCCGTTATTTCTTTTCTTTTCTTTTCTTCTTCCTTTTCTTATTATTATTATTATTATTATTATTATTATTATTTTAAGATTGTATATTGCAACTGTCTCCCCATGTTACATTATAACTTTCTATGAATCCTATGTGTACGGGGGGAGGAAATAATTCTCCTCGTATAATCCTGTTGACCAAGTCCACGCTCCTCCGTACGACGTCGCTTTGTCACCTGAAAACACAAACGTGAGCTAGCCGGCGGGTGTGTGCCGGAAACCTCTCCGATGCCTAAGTCAGAAAACTTGACAAATAGACAAAGCTTTTTTTTTTTTTTTGGGTTGGATATAAGCATAACTTCTTTGATAAAATACTTTTAATTAATCATTAGACTATAGTAAGGTAAATTTGCATTTAAAGGCTTTGTTTACCTCTCATGCTGCATTTCGTAGGGAAATTTTACTGCCTTTTTTCTCATATTCTTACAAGGAGAACAAACTATGAAAGAGTTGTTAGGGGAAAAAAATCAAAAGATGATATTGATATACATGAGGTAACAGAGATCCTAAAGGCTGAGCAAAAGACGATAGATTGATTACAAAACTTTTTCTAACACGCATTTGCTTTCTATACAGATGCATACACTAATGAGATAAAATTAAAAATATTGGTCAAGGTATTCTTTCAACTTTTGAAAAGTAACAGGTTTTGAAACAAACGAGTCCATACCATTTGCAAAACACTCATCTGCACTCTCTGCCAATGTGTTTGCTGTCATCTACAATTACACCACCAATATTCATCAATGGATATACATACAAATACAAGGATATTCGTTATGAAGAAAAGTTACTAATTTTCGAAATGCTATTATTACTTTCAAATGTCAGATGCGCGTATATCTTGTCTTCCAAAAGGACATTCATTGGGCTTGTCTCAAATTTAACCATCCTTTTCTTTTCTTTTCTTTTCTTTTGTTAGTAATGACTTCCCGATATTTACTCTAAGTCAATGTAAACACATTAAATGTTGTATTGAGCAAGATTCTCATAAAGAACACTGGCTACACATGGAAAATAAGGATTCAAATGCTTACAGCAATGATGGCCATCCTTTTTTTGGATGACTCAAATTTTTGATCATTTGGAGGCACAAATTGTTCAATTCCTGCTTTCACTGCAGCATCCCAACTACCAGTTTCCTCAAAAGAACGAATTAGTCTTGTGGCTTGAAGGCCATCCATCACTGGCATACATACATCCTGCACATGGTTACAGCTTCAATGTATTAGGATAAGACTACAAATCTATGTGACAATGTTTAGAAACATTTAAATGAGTTGCAAGGTTTGTTTATACAATTAATCTAATTTCCAAGATAAACTCCTCCGAAATGTTTTGTGAACATGTAAGTATATTAAGGAAGTTTTGGGATGGACATCTACATTGAACTATTGGCTTTGATGGACAAAAAACTATTAAAATTTTGGAGATCTAAAAAGGAATAAAAAGTAAAAGAGAAAGCAACTATAGGCTTTGATAATGAAGAAGAGAAAAGAAATAAGGCAATCAAAATGATGGCACAACCAGTGACAAACCATAGCAATGTAACAACTATTGGGATAAGCTCAAACACTGTCCTGATCTTAAATTGAAGTCTGAAAAAGAAAAGGATATGCATAACAAGTGATTAAAATGGTAACTAAAATAATAACCATAATCGAAAACATTTTTTAATTCTAGAAAAATTACCATCAGAACGAGATCATAAGTACAGGACTGAACTGCACGTACAACTTCAACTCCATTATTCACAACATCTATGGTATGGCCCAACTGCTTCATCATTGACCGTGTCACCATCACATTAATCTTGTTATCTTCCACAAGAAGGATCTTAGGTTTGAACATCGATTTGGGAATTTCTGGATTGTTGCTAGGACTGCACTGGGTGCTTCTATTAGTTCTCTCCCACATCTCACTTGCTTCTTGGGAGTCTATTGCCTTTATCGTTTCCCCAATGTTGCTTTCCCTTGAAGGGTGAGTGGAATTCATATCAGGATTCTGGAATTTACCATTTTCTTTATTGTGACACTGTATCTCACTAGCACTACCAACTGCAATTTTCTTAGCAAAGTCTAGGATGTCCCTCATTGAAGATTCATGTTCCAATGATGTATTAGCACCATCAACCGAACAGGCATCCTCTAATGAAGTTACCTCTTTTGTTGCAATGTTGCTAGAGGGAAATGAGTAGGAATCTTCTAACAAACCATTAAGTTTATATGAGGCATTAAAAGCAACATTGTTTGACAATTTTTTAGCCCTGCCAGGACCACTAGAAGCGAAAAGAGAACCCAAAGTGTGTGGTTGAAATTGAAAAAATCCGAAACTTGTATCATCATCATTGGCATCATCCGGAGCATCATGATCAGCCATATCTGAGAGTTCATCAGGATCATCTGAATTATCAGCTGCAGGTGAAACCTTGTATGGAAGTATAAATGTAAATGTAGATCCATGGTGCTCTCGACTGGAAACACTGAGATGACCTCCCATAAGCTCAACCTATTTCATACGCATATGAATGTGAAGAGTAGAACATCAGCTAAGAAAGTTTATATCAAAGCGACAATTTGAACTTCAAGTTGCAGATAGACTGGAAATTCACATAGAAGTTTATATCAAATGAAGTGGTATGGACGATAGGCTTGGAATAATTTAGAATGGGATGCTCAATTTCAGTAATTTTAAATTTCTATTGGATTTCTTGCATGTAAACTACCTACTCTCGTATAAAAAGTGATATAAATTGTTGTTTCTCACCGCAGGTACAGATGTTTCAGGAAGAAGATTAATGTGATTTAGTGGAAATGTCTGCCTATGAATATAATGCTTGTGGTAAATATAATTGAAACATATATGCCTTCTAATGCCCATTTCACAGTACAGCATGAACCCTAGTCAAGAAAAAAAAAAAAAAAAGTTTAAAATGATCACCAGTTGTTTGCAGATTGCTAGGCCTAGCCCAGTCCCACCATACTTTCGTGCCATGTCTGCACCTACTTGCATGTATTTCTTAAATAGAGTAGGCAAAGCATTCTCTGTTCCATTGAAATGAAAAGTGAGATTCTAAGAAATAGTAGCAAAATAATTAATAATAGCTTGTACTCAATGTTTCGAAGCATATTTCAAGATGTGAAATTACCCGGTATTCCAATTCCCGTATCATAAACATCGCAGCATATCCATACTATTGTTTCATCTGGCTGAAGGTGGTTCTCTTCACCTTCATCTATCGAGGCCCCATTTCTAACTAGGGTTTTGGGTTCATCATCAAGTGTATGGTTTTTGTAAGGACCTTTCCCGTGTTTCTCTTCATGAAAACCTTTTTGATCACAGCAACTTTAAGACAATGATATGTATTTATCTTGTTCGTGTATATTTACTGAAACTGTTGACCTGTCTACAGTGATCTTCTGATTAAATCCCTCTTCCATACCCAAAGATGGGGCTAGTACCACATAAAGCTTCATTCCAACCTTCCCTTCATGGGTAAACTTGATTGCATTGCTGGAAAAATAAAATCTTATAAATTTTAAGCAGAACCCAACAAGTTGGGTAAATAATGCAAGAAAGGTGCTACAAAACCAGAAAGAATGTTGCATATTCATTTTAGTTGTGACAAATGCTCATATTCACAGTGTTGTAAAGAGACACACTACTCATTGCTGATCATCCTAATCTAAGGTACTGGGAGAAGTAGATTGGTGTTACATTGTCATTGCATTTAAGAAAGCCACTTTTGTTAAATATTATGGATAAAGTAAAACATTCTCACCTCAAGAAAGGCATTATAATTTTCTTTTTAACTAAGGAAAAAATAATATACACCTTAAGTTTACAAATTTCTATAACATCTGTCGCATAATTGTTCAAAGGAACAATTCCTTGGTTCTCTTGACAAATATTTCGCAAATCCGGGGAAATCAAACATCATGACCTCTGTTGTCTTTTATTGTGATACAATCACTTTCTAATCATATCAAATAGGAATTTCTAGAGGAACAACTATGGAAGCAGAATGTTACATATGGAGCATAATGTTGGACAAGCAAGTAGCAGAAAGTGCACAAGGCTCTAAACATAGCTAAAACCTTCCATATAATCTACAAAGGAGAATTTGAAAACAGTACGTGATTAAATTTGTGAGAATCTGTCGAATCCATAGAACATCTCCAATAACCTGAAATTGATGCATACGGGGTTAACATGTAAAATAATTGCAATATAGAACAAAATGCTAGAAAGTTTTCCAATATGTTTAGATCATGGATTTCAATACGAATTTGGAAAGGAAAAGGGAAATGGAGAAAAAATTTAGCTTATATTTCATTCATATTTCCCTCCCCTTTTCCCTTTCCCTTTCCCTTTCCCTTTCCAAATTCCGACCTAAATCCGTGATCCAAACACGGCGGTGGTAGTATTAGTCCCAAGGTTTCTAGATTTGGGTAGGGATTACTTTTCACTGTGAGTAGTAGAGCTTGCATTGTGCATCTAGACCATGTCATGGATCATGTAATTTGTTAGGGCTTGGTAACAGTATGTAGTAAAACTCTCACCTCCGCAGGAACATCATCTACTACATGACCTTCCAAGGTTAGTATCTTTTGCAATAATGCTGTAGCAGTCTGGAGTACATGCTTTACTACCTCTCTTGGCTTGAATTTTGCAGCTTCCAACTTCATAACTCCTAAAGGAGAAAAGAAAATAAAAAATCAAATCAAAAATTGTAATTAAAATCCTAGTAAGATCAGCTTTACAGTGGAATGCTAGACTTTATTGTATGACTAAGATTCCACCGTCACCTAGATTGAAGCCAGATTACTGACTATAAGGAAGACTCTCATTCACTCCCTCACATCCGACCCCCTCTTGTGCATAGAGAGATAGACAAACACAGAAACCAAACTAGTAGTGTAC